CCTTATTATTACATGTATACATCTTTTCCTTCTAAGAATACACCATGGGAATACCGAAATCCATAATGTTTAGAACAGAATCAGCGAACTCTTTTGTGTGGAGTCCTGTCAAACCTTGGTGGCAGCCATGTTTGTTTTTATTATTAGAGGACGCTATTTGAAATTCGTATTTCCTAATATGATGGGATGAAAACACCCCATGAAATACCGCAAAATTACCGCATGCTGTAACTTATGGCGTTACGGTGACAGATGTACACTTTTTTAAGTTCATAAAATTTATGTACAAATGTTTTAATAAAATATAGGGTTTTTAATTTTTTCTTTCAACATAAACAAGTACATTCCTGATAAAAAGTAAACTATGTGCACTGATAGAAGAGGATCCCTGATAGCTGTAAACATAAACCTATAATTGCATTCAATGTATGCTGGATCATTAAAATAAGATGTATTTATCCCAAACACACATCTCTGCCATTTATGCAAGCGTATTCGCTACTAATAAAGCAATATGGTAGTCTAAATCTAGTACACAGGGTACCAAAATAGTCAGGCTTATCTTGTTTTTATACATAAATTTGTTGCAGGTATGCCTTTTAAATGCAAATGTCTACTTTACGCTAACTAGTTCTAGAAATCCCATCTCCAGGGCCCCAATTTTGGGAATTTTACAACAAGTTATTCATCTATTTAATGCAAAAATGAATGATACAACCTGCTTCCTTATTTTCGATCTGAACGTGTTATCACAGCGTTCACTGCATGTTGTACTGGTTGGTTCATTAGTGGTGTCAACTTTTGTGATGATTTCTTATTTTAAGCATAAGCAATTACTAAATGTGAAATTTGAAAAATAACTACAGTCGATGGTTTCTGAATTGGCTAACAGCTGTGTATTTACATCCCGCGTACAAAATTAAGTAATGTACAATCATCAATGCACTCCTGTTTGTTTACTTTATATGCAAATTTTTACTTAAAATCACTGCTGCATCATAAAATTCATAGCAATTTTGGTTAATTGTGAACTCCATAAGTAAAGAATATAAAGCTGTGGTCTTTATAAATGTCTTATAAATATATATTTCTATAAATCAAAATGGATGTTATAATTCAAATTGAACAATCTCAAAATAGGATTGTGACATCAATTTTAATGCTCTTTAATATTAAAGGAAAAGACAAGACTGAAACATAATTCTCCTAGATGAAAAAGCTTGGCAAATGTAAGAAAATGCAATTTACAGTTTTTTTATATCACTTTTCATTCACTAGATATTCAACTTTTTATCAGTTTATGTAGGCCGCCATCTTGATTCTTAAAGCAAAGGATTATGGGCAAAGAGTGATATCATTACCACTGTTGTGAAAAATTGAGAAAATGACACTGTAAACTAAACTAAATTAAACTTCAAATTCGTTGAAAGTTCAGAACATTGTAGCATACATGTACCGGTACCAAACATGCTATAAATAGTTGTTATGGCAACAGAACTATTCATTTTTGTGTTTATAGTTACATACATGAGTTATATGCACATTGAACTAATTCGTATCAGTGTTTTTCACATAAAAGTATTTATTTCAATTTTTAACAACAGTGGATATGATGTCACACTTTACCCACAATTCTTTGCAGGAGAATCAAGATGGCAGACTACATAATACTGATGAAAATTTGAATATCTAGAAAATGAAAAAAATATAAATTACATTCTCCTACATTTGCGGAGTTCTTTCATCTTGGAATCATTATGTTGGACGATTCAGACTGTAAAATTTGCTGACTGACAAATGACATGACCTTGAACATGAATGAAAAAGCAGTTGTAAATGAGATCTGTTAATGTGGCCATATTCTAATCCTGACAGTACCTGGTGACAAACTCCGGAAGCAAAAGCTGAATATTCACCAGAATCTATGTCTTTGTGCATCGTATGTTTCAGCATTATCTTTGACGCTACACATCTCGGACAATACCTTCACTATAGAATTCACTTACACATAAATTCTGGTGTTTTGTTAATAACCTTACAGCATAAATGTTGATACTGGCTGCTGCAGTTTTCCACCGCATCAGACTGTCACATAGTGTAGTCAGAGAACAAATTCTTGTTAGACTCAATGTTTTTTAATGACATAAACTTGCATAAATTTTCGCTCTAAAAAAAGTTTCCACTTTTATCCAATTAAAAAAGTTTCTACTCACCGACTCAATACTTCACGAGCTATTTCTCTCGATTTAAAGCGCACAGCAACATACAGCTTTGTTCTATCAACATTAGTTTTACAGAAATCAAACGTGACACGACTCTTTGTTTCTCTCTCAAAAAAATTTCTATAAGAAAAACATAGAAAGAAAACAATGATTATACATGTAGGGGACAAAAATACTGAATTTGTTCTACTAGAAGCACATAGGCTAATGGAAATTACAGATGTGTTTCTATTGAGAAAATAAGTTAAATTTCAATTATTTTGCATTCAACAAATGCAATTATTGGTTACAGGCACTTCTACTCAAGATGCACTTCAATCAATTCTTTATATCTTTTTTAGTTGCAGGTCAATGCTGTTACATAATCCTTCTTTACCTACATAGCAAAAAAAAAATAAGCTACTTCTCATGATGTATTTTTTTATCCAACTAGGTTCTAGTTATTCACTTCGCAGCAGAAAGTACATGAAATTTGAAATTTAAACAATGGTGGTATGATGTAAAGCCAATTGTATTTATAAATAACAAATTTTTGGCTTATTTACATAAAACAAATCATTAAATAAAATTGATCCAAAAATAAAAGTCTGTACATGTAAAATTACAGGATATTTTATTTAGTTTTATAGCAAAAAGAAATTCATTGTGTTTTGTTATACCCCAGTCTACTTTTTCCTAGAAGTGAGAACATTTTTGATTTGAAAAAACTCTAATTCTTAGCAATATAATAACGTTGTTGTCGCAGCATATATATTCACAAGATCACAAAATACAAAAACAAATCATATAAGACTTTCAGCATAATACTTACAGAGAAAGAAAATAAATTTCTAAAAAATCATCTTGAAAACCAGTAACAGGTTTGTAGTACGTATGTACCAAGCGCAATAACGCTTGAAAATTATTTAATGTTTAGTCACATTGTAAATAATTTCACCCCTGTGACCTTGTTTACAGCTTGAATTTTTGAATGCCTTCCTGAGTATTGAGAATAAATTTAAAAAATAATTTGTCTTGTTCCAGTATTCCTGCTAGTATTGTTTTAAAGGATCTTTTACTTTCATTATGTAGTTTAATTAGAATTTGTTCAATTCAAAAATGATTAATGTCAATATAGTTATTATTCTGTATGTATGTATGTATGTATGTATGTATGTATGTATGTATGTATGTATGTATGTATGTATGTACAGTCTGGTAGCAGCAAACTTAGTGTATCTTGCCGCAGGCTTAAATAACCTCATGACCCCGAGTGTGTTTTACGATATGAATCAACAGTGTCCGTCTATAGCCGATATACCAAAGTCCAAGGTATATTCTATGATCAAACAACTACTGAAGCCCTAGTATAAATCGAGCTGTAAAGTGATAAATCTCAATAAAGGTGACAATAGCTAACAGGCGATAACACTCAAATTGCTAAATTATAAAGATTTGGATAGGGAGTTTTTATTTTTGGCAGCTATTATGCAAGACGCCAAAAAAACAAAGTGTTATATATATATACATATAATGACGGAGGACACTCTATTTGATCCGAAAACAATCTCATAGTTTAACTTTCATGTCATACACCATGAAGATCACTAAAAAAACGCGACACACCACGCGCTCTTTGCAGATTTCACAGAAAGGCATATGCGTGAATGTGACTATTTACTAAGACTTATTAGTTCTGTCATTCGGCAGCTGTGGAACGCCGAACGCAATCACACAGCACACATTCACTTATTTTCATTAAAACAAATATATACCTGATATCTTCACTGGTCACATTTCCTCCGAAACCTCGCATAAATAGCGTATGTTTACTGGTTGGAGGCACTGAAGACAGGACAGAAGAAGGAACTAAACGAGCCATCTCGGTGCCTAATTCTTCTTCTCTTTGTCGACAGAGGGCGCCATCGCTGGTGACCCCTTAGTTTTGTAAGAAGTGAGCAGTTTGAGTACTCCTATGCTCTAAAACGTAACGTATATGTGAGCTAATAGACCGCAAATATATTCATATACTCCTATACATATATTAAGATATATGTTGTGGGTACGTTTATAATTTAACGTTTTCGCATTTTTCACAAATAATTTAAAATTGCCCAGACTAGGGACATTAGCATTCTCAAGACAGCTTCACACGTGCACCGGCGTGGTTTTACGAAACTCTGCAACCATTGTCAAGGTAAATATTTTATTATAACTTGACATTCGTTGGTTTATTATGCTGTTGTTAGCCACCTATTTGTTGTGCAAACATACAGTAGCAGATATATATTCAATAGTGGCTACCTCAATCAGAAGACAGGCTAATTAACATATCAACTGAGACCCCGGAAATCATACACACTTTCTTAAACTTAGATTCCGAAAACTTGCCAAGTAAACACAGGCATGTGCGATGTCCGGTTTATTGTTATGATCCGTGGCTCAGCTGCTCCAACCACCGTATATGCAAATTTGTTCGAATTTCATGTAAACAAACAATGTATTTTACACGCGTTGTGTACATCGCTATGAGTTCCATATAGAACAGGACGCGGCGCAATGAACACCGCACTTGTAATAAAATGAAAGATAACAATGTACAGATAATACACATAAACAAATGTTCCGGTCACACTCACGTTTAAATGGTTGACCCTTTAATAACAACGTAGCATACTTCAGTCGTTCGTCCATTCCTCCCATTGCACTGTTTTACATCACACAGCCGTTAAAAATGGACAGTGGAATTTTTAAAAATGTACCGCAGTACTAATTTTAGCACAATAAAAAAAAAAAAAAACAAGTTCTGTGGCAGCATTTTCAATAATAATAATATATTTATACTATTTTTTTATGACCACTTTGGCGAACATGCATTTCTGCAGAAATACAAAGAAGAGCCTGGAAACCATGTCAGAAATACTTACACCGAGGGAATCTGGGAAATTTATTGCTGACAATAGTATAGATGTCAAGATTAAGAGAGATGGAATAGAGAAAACTGCAGCTATTGTGAGTATGGCAATCATTAGAAGAAAAAAATTTTATTCCGAAAATGAAATTTAAGAAATTAATCTGAAAATCTTGAATTTAATTGGTATATTACATGCCTTTCATATATGCGATACAATGGTTTAAAAAACAAAAACTTATAAGGTATTTTGAAGAAAGAAATGAATGAATGCGATTAGCAGTGTCATTTAGTCGGAATGATCTAAATAAATCACAGAAAGTGAGACAGAAGAAATGTTTTCCGTTTGTTTGTGATGCTGAGAGACGATGGTGCAAGTACGATACACAAATGACAAATGGTTGTCTTTCTCAGAGCACTACAATAGTACATACATACAAAGACCGTTTTTTGGGGGGGTAAAAAACGCTACATAAATTATTAATTTGGACATAATTCATCATCTTTTAGTTTGTTTTTTTCACTCCGTAAGTGCATTATATTTTTTAAATGTAATGATTATATAATAAAAAGCAAATATTATTGACCATCCGAATTTCCTATCTTTTAAGCCAGACTTTTATTATTCCTTGTTTCGCGAACCCACCGAATGAACAGGAGCCGAAAATGAAATAAAAATATAATTTTATTTCAGCGTAGTTTCTCGCGCCCGCCGACTTGTAAGCGCAAAAAAATGCTAAAAAAATGTTATTTTTATCTTCATTTTTTTACCACCCGCCGCATAACAAATCCAAGTTGCATTTTCGTGAGAGTGTCATGATCAAAGTACCGAAGTCTCGTGCAGATGAGAAACAAGGTTATACATGGAATAAAATTTTATTTCATTTCTTCTCTCCGATGACTGATCTCACTTACAATTCTTTGAGAATCACACAAATCTAATGGGAAAAAAAGAATTAATTTTTTTCGCCCTTCTCAAAAAAATTGCCTTATAAAAACTCGCGAAACAAGGAATAAACAAGTCATTGAAATTGAAATGACACAGTCCCTGTTAAATTAAGTTCTCTTTGTGCTCGTCATATTAAAGTGAAGGGGTTGTCGCGAGCGTGTCCTTGAAAATTAAGTTCCAAGTGGCGTATACAACAGATTGTTTATTTACATGAAAACACGTGTTCCGTGTAGTAGTAATATGGCCAAAAATAAAAACAGCCGTTATTCGGCCATCTTTGATCTGATTATGAAACACACTGATATTTATAATGTATGTGCCAATAAATACAAATGAAAATTGTACATAAATTGTGGAAATATACTGTGGAATACTTTATTTTCGCTGGAATTAATTTTCGCTGAAAAGGCTGTCAATCGGCCATCCTTGACCAGATTTTGAAACAAGTTGTCATGGACATGCATCCTAACATGTATAAAGTACATGTATATGCCAAATTTGAATGAAAACTGGCAGAGCACGTCCAAGATACCGCATAAAAAACAAAAAAACAAAAATGCCTGCCAGTCAACCATCTCTGATCCAATTGCGAAATAAATTGTCATGGACATGTATCCTAACATGTATGATCTATGTACTAAATTTGAATGACAACTGACAAAGCATGTCCAAAATACAACATTTTCAAAAAACAAGATGGCTGCCAGTCGGCCATTTTGAATCAAATTGCCAAACCACTGCATGTACATATGTCCCACATAAGGTACTAGGCACATGCAAAGAATGAACGGAATCGGTCCACAAGATTCTGAAATATGACTCTGGACAGACTAAGAGACGAACGGACGGACACACGAACGGACGGACACACTCAAGAACTCACATATAGTCGGGGACATGTATCCTAACATGTATGATCTATGTACTAAATTTGAATGAAAACTGACAAAGCATGTTCAAAATACAGCATTTTCAAAAAACAAGATGGCAACCAGTCGACTATCTTTGATCCAATTGTGAAATAAATCGTCATGAACATGTATCCTAACATGTTTAATCTATGTACCAAGTTTGAATGAAAACTGTCAAAGCATGTCCAAAAAACAAGATGGCTGCCAGTCGGCCATTTTGAATCAAATCGCTAAACCACTGCATGTGCATATGTCCCACATAAAGTACTAGGCACATGCAAAGAATGAACGGAATCAGTCCAAGGGTTTCTGAGATATGACTCCGGACGGACGCATGGACGCACAGACGGATGGACGTACGGAGACCGAATTATAAGTCCCCGTTTTCGGACTTCGTCCGAACAGGGACTAAAAAAGTCTGGCCTTAGATAGACATGTACATAAAAGAGGGATAGAATATGCCGTTTTATTTGAAACTTACATAATACACAGTTGATAATTCATTTGTAAAAAAAGACACAAAAATACAGAAATGTAACAACAAACTAAAATAAATCTAACATTTGAAAAATAAAATTCGCCTAGATGCTATAAATCCTCCATGGAAATAAGCTGGTAGTCTGGAATTTATGTATATATATATTACTGCTGGAATTATATTAATACACTCTTACAAAATAAAGCATAGAATTTTTCATCCTCACACTTGTACCACATTGAAATCAAGGAGATTATCATCATTTAGACTGTTCTATACTCCTATACTGACCCATTCTAACTGGTAGGAAATGGAAGGCAATTCTGAATTCACTTCATGCCAATCTGTGATTTCTATTTTTAATACCATCTAAATAGTGCTGAAATAAAATTTTATTTGTGATCTGTTTTACTAACTCAACAACATTTTGACATATGAAGTGCCATTTTACCATAGGAGCCAATGGTAAATTGCTCAGAAGTCACAATTTTGATTGAGGGGGCGGGGGCAATTTGGAGGAATACATGGTAAAATATACAAATATAAATTGGGACCAAGAAACCGCCCAGGGCAATTTTTCGGCAGTTTTTTAAGGTGTTATTTCAATCTTTTCTGATGCCTAAAAGTTTTGCCGTAGTCATTGACTTATTTATTGCAACTTGCGTGAATGGGTTAGCTTCGTTTCGTTTCGCTGTAAATAATGTTAAATTATTCTTTAAATGCTCAGTTTATCTTTTGAAAACAACTATTTTTTTTATTTAAAAACAAATCATGCCGCTTTGCTATCAAAATCCAAGCCAAAAGATCGTACAACAACATTGGCAAATCTCTTCCATGCTGGGTTCAATAACATTAACATATTCAGATGTATTATGGTAATTTGAACACGTTGGCATCATCCATCGTTTACATTGGTTAATTATCGATTTGACCTGTCAGGTCAGGTAATTTATTTGCATTTCATAACAATTCAACGAATTTATTTTTTGCACGTTTTTATAATCATTACTAGGTAATTCAACAATTGTAAAACGCAGCATGACCGGATTGCACTACCACAATCATTCGCTACTACGCAATGCAGTTGTGTTTGTTGTTTTTTCAAAGTTCTTTTATAATATACTTTTGTTACTAATAAAATGAAACAAAATAATTGTATTTGGTGCACAAGGTTCGTTAATGAGATTTTTTTGTAAAATGATGCACGGTCTACTTATTAATCCAGCTAGAAAAAAATGTATACAATTTTAGTTTCTTTCGTTTTGGGTGGTCCAACTGCCGTGTTGAAATTTGACATAGGTGGATTTTTCAATGAAAATATAAGCCCCCTAAAAATATTTGATGATAATTTTTTGAAAATATGAACCCCAAATAAAGGCCCACCAGCCTTGAAACCGCCCAGGGCGATTTTTTGGATGGGCGAATTTACGACAGAATCCGGTAATGGTCATAGCCAAATTATGGACACTGTTGGCTTAGCATATACGCTATATTGTCATATGTCAAAAAGATGGCCACTGGGTTACATCCAGGTCTCTGGAGGAAGCCATCGATTGAAATTCAGTTTTCTCACACAAATCTCAGGAATTACGGTACAAGTTTACATATTACCAGGGGTCCTAGGTGAAAAATATTGCCATCTTGAAGGGCTAAGTCTCTCTCTGACGACCTCACAATGTATTTAATGTGACTGTATTTGCATACAGTTTATTATAGTTTCTGGTCTCTTTGTGTATTAAGACTCTGCATGCATTTTAAGCATCACTGATTAAGTTAAAAACACTTATTATTAACTATTTCACCATCAGTTCCCTCTTTTCATCACAAATTCACCAAATAGTTTATAGTCTGCATTTTCCTTCAGAAAAAAATAGCAACATTTTGTCTGTTGGCCCCAAAATTAGGGTTCATATGAAAAAAGTGCAGAAAAATTTGGGCAGAAAAGTCTGGTAGTTCACCCATCCTGGCTACTATACATCAGTTCTTTTACAACATCTTTCTAATATAACTATCCTCTATCAAGTTAGTGATTTAAATTTACATGTACCATAATCATCATTACTATTATTTATAATACCATTTACCTTGTACTAACTAATGTCAATCAATACAAACATGAACAATTTGAAAACAATTAACTTACTATTTTATAAAGTCTTTCTCTGACGACCTCATAATATATTTTATGTGTCATTTCCCATAATGCATCATGTTTACGCATCACAAGAGCCATTTCAATGAAATGATGACTACTAGACACATGTCATGTGATATTACAATTGTGTCTGAAACAATATTTCATTAAGAGTTTATGTATGTGGCTATATTTAAACAAATAAATGTTCAGAATCATAGCTACTGTTATTTCAACGTGTTTTTACAGTCCAAAATAGCTTCTTTTAACTGACTGATTTGTTTAAAAGTTTAAGGGACAGTGGTCGTCGTGCTGTGCATGAGCAACATTTTTGTTTATAAACATTAATTTTTCCACAATCCAATGCGCTCTTCTAATGTAAATCACAAGTATGAGGATTGACCTGGGTGTGACTTCACTAATTATTGCCCGCGACTCCTTTGATACCTTCCAAACACCTAGAAAATACCTGATTAAAGCTTGTCTCAGTTTGTACTGCAACAGTCAAAGTTGCCATCTTTGTTTATATGAGACCCATATATCTGGCACATGCGTGGTGCGACTACTGCCCTTTAAAGTGCTGTTAAGTCTTAAAGTCGTGTATTTCATAATTCTATCACCGGTACCCAAAATAACACTAGGTGAATTTCATACTTGAAATTCCTGAACACTGTTTTGACGAATTGCCATTGATATATTTGCATATTTGAAAAAAGGTACCAAATTTTAGCAAGAAAAATAATTGCTTAACATGCTTCTACAAAATTGTTGTTCTCAAACATGGGTACAAGTATTCCATCATAAGTCACTAGCCCCCTACCACACCACCTGCCCACCCACCAATGATAAAATAAAACCACTTTGTAAAAGACGAGTTCTGTTTTGTTTTAACAATAGCTTTTGATACTTTAATTAATTACTGTAATCAACAAGAATTCAGTACGTCTTTCAAATTCAAAACTTATTTTAACTTTTCTAGATTTTTGAAAGTGTGAAGAGTGGCAAATTCACAGGGAAAAATTGGAAAAGCCATGAGCTCCATCCAAAGTCAATGGACAACAAAGCCATTGATTGGTAAGTATATGTATGATTGCTTTGCTTCTGTTGTGGGGTTGTTTTGTATCGATGTTCTTATAATTGTTTATTGTTTGTATATTGGTAGAGGACGTGGCAACTGCTTTTTTCACCCTTTTTAAAGCAGAAGGGTCATCACATGCACATACGCAAGAATTGAGTCCTAAGTGACGATGACAATGCATGCAAAGGCTCATGGGTAGACACTTAGTTGAAAAACAATGTATAATTCACTGTATTAACCACAGGGAGCCCAGGAAGTATAATAAACTGTATGCCTAGCCTGTACTGGCGTACAGTTTATTATAGTTTCTGGTCTCTTCGTGTATTAAAACTCTGCATAATATAACTTTCATGCAATATGAGCATTACTTAATTAAAAACACTTATTATTAACTTTTTCACCATCAGTTCCCTCTTTTCATCACAAATTCACAAAATAGTCCTGTTTATAGTCTGCGTTTTTCCTTCAGAAAATTGGGACAAAAATAGCCATAGTCTGGTAAAAATTAACTGCATGATATTGTGAATTAAAAAATGTCTATGACTGTCTCCTTCAACAGGATATTTTTTGTGGACACTTTAAACTTCTCATTTTGGACTGACAGTGATGAAAACTATTTTAACGTCAGTTATAAAGACCAAGTGTATACTGGTTACTGGTCACTGTGTGCGGCAGTCAATAGGGCATTAGATGTGAGTATACAGTCAAGAATGGAAAATATATGTGTAAAAATCTTCTTTAAGCAAAGACATTTCTTTCTGGGTGAATTGTATCTGTATAGATAATGACAGTGGATTGTATTCTCTGCTTTCAGGAAGGCATTCCAATTACCTCACCATCATTCTATAAAACAATAACAATGGAACAACTGGAGAAAGTATTGAGAAGCAACACCAAATGTACAATGCCATTACTGGAGGAAAGACTTAGTAACCTCCATGAAGCTGGTAAAATACTTGTTGAAGTGAGTAGACAAAAAATTTACAAGGACTGTGATTGAATGCATGCTGTTGTGTGATTGTAAGTGTGTGTTCTGGTGTTGACCACTGTGTAAATGGCTTGTTGTCTGCTGGTAGTAAGGTGGGCGTACCACTTCTATTGGAACATGTCTGCATCAACCTGGAACTTTGTATTAGAGGGACAACAAGTTTCCGAATAGAATATAATGACTTGGCTAGACTGAATACATGTATGACTCAAATATATATTGTTCAAAATAACATTTTACATAGTGACAGTGTATTTTTCTTTAAGGTCTGCATACTTTTCCATGGATGCTTATGAATTCTTCAGAGTGGATGGGGTCAGGGCTATGTTGTAGGTATACTGGAAAAGTTGTAAATATGTGGCGCAAAATGTGGTCCCCTTTTTGAGTCAAAGTGTCTGGAATAAGATCTACAGTTTCAGGATTCATTATTCAAATTAAAAAAATATATTCAGCACAGAAATTGCTTAAAAGCTCCGTAAATGGATAATTCTGCAAGAAAAATGGCCCATGTTATTTATCACCAATGTCAAAAAAGAACATTAAATTAAAGGTGAAATTCTATTATTTTCACTGTATTTCCCTCACAGAATTTTGATGGTTCATTTGCTAACTGTATCGCAGCATGTCAAAACAGTGCATTGAAGTTATTACAATTGGTAACAAGTACATTTAGGTCTTACCAAGATATTGCAACCTATGAAGGTAAAACTGGTAAGTCTTGTTTTTTTTAATGTCATTTTGTTAACACTTATGAAGTCCCATACTTTTCATATTTCAACATGCCATTGCCCATTATTTAGTCTTAATAGGATTACTTTGTTCCATAGGCCCTGAATCTGAATAACATTTTGATTTTAAATTTTAAAATGAAAAAAAAACTTTCATTTCATTTCCGATGTGTCTAGGTTTGTGACATAAAATAAATGCAGGACAGTGGAAACAAACAGCAATAAAGCACTTCACATGAAGCAATGCATACATCAATTTCTGTTTAGGCCAATGATTGTTTCTTCAAAAAACGATATGAAATATCAAGAAAGTCAATTTGTATGTGCTTGAATAAGTTATTGTACCACCAGCACTAGGCACTGTTTTTTTCTTTGTTTCAAATAAAAATAGCTATCGAGTTGGGCCCTTGAAAATGACACACACCGACCAGAAACAAATTTTGTTTGGACTTGCACTCAATGTCTTACCGAAGTGTAATACATGTTCCAGGGCTACTGCATTCTGCACCACATATCATTTGATTTTTGAATCTAAATGAAGCTCTGATTAGAAGTAAATACCTATGACATACTAGTGGTATATTATAATAATAAAAATAAATGGTGCCATATTGAATTTAGAGTTTTTGTTTAACACTTGATCACATGTGCTCATCAGTGGCTGGGAAAAAACATACTCCTCATTCAATATGGTGGTAGGGAATCACTATAATAAGTGTTTTTAGACTATTAATTAAATAATTTGTCTTTTGTCAGTATCACTCTACAAACGTGCCCAAATTGTTATTGCTGATATCTGGTCCTGTTTTGAAGGCCAAGGTCTTGGTCATTTTCATGATATTGACTGTTTAACCATGTTTGCTGATTACAGGTAAGGTACTCCTTTAAATGGTTCTATATAGATTTTACACTTATTGTATATAAGCATTGTGAAATAAACATCTATGTAATATCTGCATTATATGGAGGTATGTAAATGTGTCGAAATGGACATAGTGCGAGTGGTTAGTGCTAGTAGCACTAATCCGAAAAACTACTAGATCTAGTGCTAAAATGGCACTAGATCTAGTGCTAAAACGGCACTAGATCTAGTGCTAAAATGTACATA